AACCTTTCTAAGGAGCACTAGAGATCAGTTTCGGAAGATGCTAATAAAACAAGGTCGTCTGCAAACAGCATCCTTCTCGACTTCACGTCTCATACACTGATACCTTCATCGCTTTGGCAGCTCCTACAACACAAACAGGATAGGGGACAGGACGCAGCCTTCGAAGAGACTAATGCGAACGTTGAATGGTTTCGACTTAACAACGCCATTTACTCTGACGCAGCACCCGCTATCAGAATACAGTGATTGGATGACCCTTAGCAGCTGGCTATCTATCCTGTGTGCTCCAAGGCATAACAACACACTGTTGCGTTAGATCCGGTCGTAGGCTTTCTTCAGGTCAACAGAACACATGTACACCAGATGGGCGTACTGCCACAATTTCTGAACAATCTGGCGCAGGGCAAATATATGATCAGAGGGGCTTCGCCCGGGCCGGAAGCCACACTGCTCTTCTTGAATCTTGACGTCAACTATTTCACGGCACCTCCTTTCTAACACCTTTGAGTACACTTTACCTGGGGAAGCCACACTGCTCTTCTTGAATCTTGACGTCAACTGTTTCACGGCACCTCCTTTCTAACACCTTTGCGAAGACTTTACCTGGGAGGCTCAATAACGTTATGCCCCTATAAGTGGAGCATTCCTTGTGGTCTCCCTTCTTGAATACAGATACAATAACTCCCGTTCTCCAGTCCGCTGGTGTCTTTGCCGCAGTTACCGTAGTTTGACAGACAAATGTAAGCCAGCACATGCCTTGTTCGCCTAATGCCTTGAGCACCTCAGGGCGGATTTCGTCAATTTCAGCAGCCTTTCCATTTTTCAAGCTTGTCACAGCTCGTGTAATTTCATCTACAGAGAGAGAGTAATGCGCTCGCTGCTGCGTTAAATATTCTGCATATAATAAACTTGTGAGATATTACCGTGCAAGAGATTTCAGCACATCTGAATAATATGTACTGGAATAAGTATCTTTTTCTCATTCATTAATTAAGTTGCTTTATTGCACTGTCCTTTCAATTAAATGCCCGTTTCTTATTGCCGCTACACTGACTCTTAGGATCATTATGTTTATTAGTAGCCAGATAAATTCGATTTTTTGTCTTTGTTATTCACCTTCCTGCGGTGTGGTGGCATGGTGGCCAAGAGGTAGGCGTGAAACTCCGGAGGTACTGGGATCGAATCTGAGTAAAGCTTTTGTCTTTACCGCAAACTTCCTTGAGCAAGGAGTTAGGAACACGACGCTTCGACATCAGTAGGCGAGAAATGGGCAGTAAGTCGGTGATTTGTGAATTGTAGGGATAATATGTTATTCTGAATTGACCATAAGTAAATGAATGAAGTGCACGGTTTTGCTGTCCAATGTCAAGGTCCCTTATAGGTGTCTTTCGCTCTGATCAGTTTGATAGCTGATTATGCAGTGTAGCCCTGATTTTGATGGACTTTTAATGTTTTGGACATTGATGAGTATACCAAATTTGCTTCAAATGAAGAATTCAGCAAGTTAATATCATTTCTTTTTAGGTTATAGGCAACTTTAACTAGTCCTTGGAGGCTTCTCTAAACAGTAGCATACTCACTGATACCTGCAACTGGCTTTCATCAAGAGTCATCATTCCGGCTTCATTAAAATCACGAATAACATGCGATTCGAAGGCTGTAAATATTCTAAGAATAAACTTTTTCTATCTTCCATTTTAGACATGCTTTATTAATAATTAATTGGGACACTTGGTTAATTAAACGTAGTTGTTTATTAATCGCAAGCAACTAAGCATTAATAATGGTACAAATCTTTTAACAGCAAAATAGTTTATACTCAATTCAGCAACATACTCTATAAGGAGTTGATATCCCTGGTGGAAAATATGGAGTAAATTCGAATGATCCTTACCTTTCCCTTTGGAAATCCCCAACTCGACTTGGCGTAATAGCCCTGCACAAGTAGAACCTCTTCCTCTGAACTACTGATCAGAATGGCACCGTACACAGGAACTGATGACTTGTAACTCCGCCACTGTTCAATTACTTTGTCCACGTTTGGCAGATGTGTTTGAAGATAAGGTAGATGCGCGAAAACGGTCCTATGATAAGTCAATTAACATAAAATAACTTTATTCAAAAAGAGGTTATAAACAAACGAATTTAGACACTAATGACATTAAATATGAACAAATAGAAAGTGACGTTAATAAGCCTGAAATGTTTCGTCAATTTAGCAACAGTAACAATAAATCTAATCAATGATGGCTTGAAATCTGCGCACTACCGGGTCCCCGCAGAATTTCAAGCGAACCGTTGTATTTTATTCACGGAAAACATACAGACAACTACCACAAATAAATAACTTATTAAATTTCCTAAATTTTACTGATGTGAAAGCTAAAAAGTCATGTCTGGTTTCTCTCTTCCACCTACTTTGCAAGATCTAAATCGCAACGCCTCAGCTTCAACTACAAACGGTAACGTCAGCCCCTTCCAACCTGTTTGCCAGCGATACGAATCATCCGCAGATGTAAGGGGTTTAACGAAACACAGTACATACTGGCCTCTGGTTGCACGTTCACTGCTGTATTCTGTGAAGAAACATTTCAAATTTCTTTCAACTACTCCCATTCTTATAAAAGAGAAATGGGCAAGCCTGAAGTCAAATTACACTGTACTTAAGGAAAGGCTTGTTAAATATGAAATTAATCACAAACAATTTTTTAGCGAAATTCTTTATAGTGTGTTCAAGTTGATTCTCATTCCCGTGATGGTCATGACTTATTGTCATGAGTGGTGGATTGTGACTAATAAACTGTGAGCCCTAGTACTAGAGACGACAATGACCTTTGTGAGACGAATCGTTTAGTACAGGCGTCTTGATAATGCTCCGAGTACAGATACCCAAGAAAATAGAGGTGTACAACCGCTGCTTCTCCTGGTAGAGAAGCCACAACTCTGATGGTTTCGATATGTGTAGCAACTGCCTCCAGAATGCTAGGAGAAACAGCTACTAAATGCTCAACTCAACGACCGACGACGCCACAGACGACCAACAGTGATCTTTGGCAATAGTTTCTAAAGACTTTGCACTAGATCCCGACTATCTTCTGCTGAAGCTCAAACTCTTACAAAGAATCTAGAACGTTGGAAGCACTCTCTGAATGATTGTATACTGATTTCCTGTTTTCCAAAAGACAACTCTATTGACTGAATCGAAAGTTACGTAAAATCAATAAAATACAAAAACATTCCGATTTCTATTCTCCCTTCTTTCATTAAATGCCTCATGCTGAAAATTTGATCGAGTCACCGTTTACCTGCGCTGAAGCTGAATTGTTCTTTTTAACCAGGTTTCACTGTACTGTTTCGTGTCATAAAAGAACCATATATCGCCTTTTTATTATTTGCCCATGCTAGACACCTATTCAATTACGTGAATATTTAATCACATAAATATTTAATGTAACAATAATAAACAGATGATAATTAGCATTACCAGCAATGATTGTAGTGTATTACAGTGAAAAATACTCCATCATCAGCATCGCAATCGAACCGTCAGGTAAGGCATAAAACTGAAAAACTTACCTTATAAACTCTCGGATACCGCAGGGGCGACAAGACGACTTTCCGTTGCTTTTTTCCTCGCTGCAATAGAAGTCGATGTAAAACCAATGGGCCAGTTCGGCCTGAAAGCAAACGCGGACCGGGTCTAGCTTTTCCTCGTCTGGCAGGTTCACCAGGAACCTGCTGCACAGTTCGTCGAGGATATCCTGAGGTATGACCATGACGATCACGTGTAAAACAATGAGGAAGATGACAACCCAAGTTTTCGCATCACAGCACTTATAAAAAACTAAGTGCAAGTGCCAGTTAAAGAAATAACAAAATGCAATAATAAACTGACAACATCATGAACTGTCTGTATAGAAACAGGAACAGAAAAACGAAACACCCGGAATCAAAGGTTTAATTTGCAAAAATATCACGTAATAATGTACAAGCTGCCTACCTCATAAAAAATGTTGTAACAATAAATTATAACAAAAATTATTATTATTTATAACAAGAAATGAATAAATATTTTCTGCATCAAAGAACGTTAAATAAAATTTTATAACAATGAAAATGGGCATTATCACATCCAGGTAGCTACCACGTAAGTATCGAATAAAACTTGTCGCCAAAATCTGTGCCT